CAAGAGACAAAAATTGTTTATTTTTTTCTCATAGAGCTCTTTTTTTCAGAATTTTTTATCAACTTTTTAGTACTGAATTTTCTTATTTTTACCAATATCAGAAAATACGATATTAAAAAATTATCAAAAAATTCTCGAAATTTTATGAGAAGAAAATAAACAATTTTTGTCTCTTATAGTTTTTCTGTAAAGTTGATAGTGTTTGAGTAAAAAATTATTGAAGACCAATTTTCGGCAATTTTTAACAATTCTGCTCCTGTGCGAAAGATTTAGCGGTACTTATCAAACACCCTGTATATATATTTATTTATATTAGGGTGGTCCATCTTTTTCGACTTTCAAATTTTTCCACGGCACCCTTTAGAATGATTTCAATCCATAAAAAAATAGTTCCTGTCACATTTCAGCTCGATCGGACAACCGGAAACTCGTGCTGAGCTCGTTGCTGACAGCTCGTTAAACATTTGAGTTCCCTTATATTACATTATCAGCATTGATTTTTAAAGTATATTTTCTATAAAAAATCAACCTAAAGGACTTTTTTTTTGGACATATGTGCCTTGCTTTTCTGCATCATTTAAAACCTTATATGTTTCATTTAAACAATTAGATGAATTGTTATTTAAACAGTTAGGTGAAACACGATGTAAATTAGATCATAGATCGGTATTCATAATCGATTCTTATATTTAACACTATCTTATATACTTAAGATGTCACGAATCAATCATATTAGCGTCTTAGACGTTACTTAAGACGGTCTTTAAATAAGAACGGACTATGAATACCGGCTAATCTTAAATTTTTGGTCAGTAGTATACATGATTTCATATATAACTTATATTTTGTATTGTATATATTCTTCGATATATTTTATTATGCTTGATTAAAATATGAAAGTATAATAATAAATACATAAATTAAATTTATAGGCTAAAAAGCGGTAATCCTGGATATCTGGTAGCGTATCAGACTGGGGAAGAATTAGCCATTATAAATTTATCCGGAATACCGCGGATATCGGAGGAAGTCAGCGTAGTCGCACATAGTCCCAACTATGTTCAAAATATGGAAGTTATGAAGTAAGTCTTTTAAAAATTTGTAAAAATCTCTTATTTTATCTATTCAATAATTATTTCATTTTAATACTGGAACTCAATCACTTTTGTAGGATGAAACTGCCGTCGGATGCTGTACCCATATCACCGAAAAGCACACTGATTTTAACATTTGTACCGAAAGAAGAATCGTAATTAATCCAATTTATAATTAAATCAATCCAAAAGATAATTCAAATTGTGAAAGCGATCAGCTATATACGATTGCATTTTGCTTCAATATACTGATGGAAATAAAGCTTTATGTCAAAAAGAATATGTAAAATTAAACTGTATTTTATCTATCTTACAGTCAATCAATAGGCTTGAAAAATTGATCGTACGATAAAAACGCACGGATGACATAGCGGCCTATTATAATAAGCCGATTAATATCATAATCTAGGGTTGCGTTCCGTTTCACCCATGATGCGCATTATGCACATCATGCGTGAAACGGAACGCAGCCTAGGTCATAACCCAGAACCCACAGTAAAATGGGCGATGTTATTTCTTAGATTTATATAAAAGCTTGATTTGTTCGTATATTGAAACAAACTATATGTGAAATGTTTTACTTGAATTATGTATATCCGTGTGTAATTATTATATTGCGTAGCAAAAGAAGTATATCTCGATGTACGTATATGTAATGAAATATATACATATGTAGCAAACATCAAAAATTGCTAACTTCTTTTAGGGGCTCTATACTACACCCTAGTAAAAAAAAATTGATAGAGAACGATAGAAAAGAATCTCATTGTTTTGAATATGGAATCTGATTTGTGAATTCATTGATTACTGATTTGGATCAAATCTTATAGGAATCTAGTACAAATATTAATAAAATACGATAGAATTCATATCTGATCAATCGTGATGCTCGCGAGGTCGACGATAAAAAATGATATAAACTTATAGAAAACGATACAAATTCATAGAATCGTTCTCCATCAACTTTTTTTTTACTATGGCATTTACATTTTCGAAAATTTCACGAACTATTGAAAGAGAATCTTTATTAAAAGAATCCCATAATGCTTTCACGCGTATGTCCGCAAAATCTCGCTTTTATCACAATAAATACACAGCCTAATCATGTTAATCTTAAACATGCGGGAGATAGTATGTATAAACACTATACGTATGATCTACTTGGGAAACTTATTCAATATGCAATTTGTGTGGATCAGTGAATTTCGCTGTTATAATATAAAATAGAGCAGGTAATACAACTAGGAGCAACATCGTGGGATGAATAGTGACTTCCCGAAGAGTCGCAACCGCTATTACACCATATCCATGCAGCAACCAATGGCCCAAAATGACGATCACATTCTTTATATCCGAGATGGAACTCAACAACAATGACTTTACCGTTTGATTCAGTTTAAATGCGAAATGCGCTGCATTTGAAAGTACCGACAGGACAATGAGAATATAAGGAAAGGAGTAATCTGCAAAAAAATATATATAATCAGCAATTAACACGTTTTCATAGTACTATAGGGTATATACAACATACATATTAGACCTCCTCCCACGGCATGAAGCAGTGCAAGGATTGGATAAAAATACAGCGCTGCATAAATAGAGAACTTTCCCTGTTTCGGTAAAAATTTCTTAGCTATTAGTGGCCTTATTAACAGCATGAGAACTATTCCTAAAGCATAAAAGACAAAAACCATAGTGTACCTGTAAGATCATAAATATATATTAGAGATGTATTATATATATATATGCGCGCGCGCGCGCGTGTGTGTATTATAAGATATTCTGATAGACATTAATATCAAAATATCTGAGGAAAATAGTTTTTATTTAACTTTTAAAAATTGTAATGCGTTCTGTGACAAGTGAAGACTAACAAGACTTCCATTAGTTAAGTACTCTAGCATTAATTAATCTGATACTTTTGTTATTTGATTAGAAATTAAAAGTGTCAGTAAAGATTTACTATTGTTGTAATCCTACTAATCTTCATTATATTACAGAAATACTTTACAATCTAGAGACTTTTGTAAAAAAATTTTGTATTTTTTATGGGTAAATTAATTTAATATATAGGTAACTGTACTAACAATGGATAAATTGCCTCTTGCGTGCAGTGTAAAGTCGCTTCATAATTAGGATTCGGATTATGCAGTAGTGTATACCAGTCTGATAATTTTTTTGCCTTGCATGACTTAATGCTGAACGATCCAATGGGATCTGTTAACTGAAGGACTATGAGGGACGCCAGGACTACTTCAAATAATGCAGAAAGATGAAGGGCGATCACTTCTTTGGGTATATTACGACGCATGGCGACCATGTCAATGCAGAACCAGTGCAGCACCAAAGCTAACAAGACCATGAAGCCTAGGTACAGCCAATCATAGAACATTGGCGCATCCTCACAGGGCTCGCATGCCGATGAAGCGTTAGCGCGGAAGCCGCGCGGGCAAGCTCCACAAATGCTCCAATTTCCATCCTGCAGCAATTCCCTGCCGCAGTATAATCCGGGACACCGCGTAAGGACGTTCATGATATCGCTTTCCTCGAGACAGCTTAAATATAAGGAGGGTAATTAAGTATACAGTTCAGCTCCTCGTACTTCAAAAATAAATGAAATTAGTCTTGTTCGACGCGTTTTGCAACGAAAGAATCTAACAGAAAAAAACGTTGCTCTGCTTTGCGAACCGAGACATTAGTTGTCAAAGTTGACTATTCAGGTTAGGAAAACTGTCACAGCCACGCAACACTTGTTCTTCTTCTTCTTCGTTTTATTAGCTCCGCAACCAGATCTGGTTGGAACTGAGCCATTGAGTAACCAAGCAACACTGACTACAGGTGCGTTCAGGGAGACGCTATTAGCGCTATTTGTGTCATTCTATCCTTGTTTTACGTTTAATAAACAACGAAGATAGAATGACAGATAGCGCTATTAGCGCCTCCCCGAACGCACCATACGTTTACACTAGTTACTCTAACCCCGGATCTACAATCGAATTTTAAGCCTTAAGCCATAAGAAATGGGCGAATCACAGTCGATTATTCTCCTTGGATTCGACTGTAATTGGTCAATTTCTTATGGCTTAAGTCTTAAAACACCTATTGTAGATCCGGACTAAAGTTGGTTAAACTGAGCTTCGATTAACTAATCGACGATTAAGGGCCATTGTCACCAAGCTCAGTTAACTTAACTGAGCCAATTAATCCATCGGAATTGACCAATCTGTCAATTCTTCAAACAAAATGACAAATGCGATTGGTCAATTCCGATGGACTAACTGGCCTAATTAGATCAACTGAGCTTGGTGACAGTGACCCTAAGTCAGAATGCAAAAGGAACGCGCGTTCAACTGAGTTACGACGTCACACAAGTAAAAATTATCTGAGAATCGATGTAAATGGAAAGCATCTAATGTATGAAAGATTCACAAGTGACAGAAAGAGGAGAACGAGAGAGAGAGAGAGAGAGAGATTAAAGTCGTCAGTATACACGGTGTACGTCACGCGGCAACGTGATTCGTCATTAACGATCGAATCCACGCGTCGCGCCATCCTTCGTACGTTTTCATCTTTCAGCGCAATTGCTCGCGACGTCCACAGGCATCGATCGTAGGCGCAGCGGTCAGTTAAGCCTGCGGCACGCGATGCTTGTTGTCTTGCTAGCTAGAATAAATTCTTGCCACCGTATTGGCTACGATGCTGACACTGTCAGTACCGTAGCCAATACGATGGCAAGATTCTAATCCAGCTAAGAATCTAGGAGGAAAGCAAGCATCGTGTGCCACAGGCTTTAGTTAGACGGGCGATACGCGAGGGCACGCGCCATTGGTCGCGGTTCGTGGCCAATGGCGTGTCGCTACCAGCGGTTTGCCGGGCGTGCGCGTGACGCTACCGCCATCTGCCGCGCTCGAGCGCTTCCGTCGATATTCGGTCGCGTTCGGTCGACAATTGCCGAGTACATGTTACTATTTTCAGGCACGCAGGGCACCTCTTGACGGTTTTTCAATAAGTGAAGGTGGGCGACGGTGTGCGACGTGACAGTTTCGGGATTTGAATCTTTTTTTCCGCGCGTGATTCATCTCGCGGATCATCGCGAACGGACATTGAGGACCTTCCCTCTCCCCCCCCACCTCCCTGGCTTAGAAGCAGCACGGTTCACGGTGCGGTGGTGGCGGAGAAGCGAGAGATTTTGGTCAGGGCGGTGGAGTGGTGTGTTTGCGCGCGCGCGTGCGACGACTCGACGAGTGAGCGAAGCGGTGGCGAAATCAAGAGTGAGACTTTTCTCACTTTTCCGAGAGAAGACACGCCAGGCGAGCCGAGTAGCCAGTTAGCAGGGACGATAGCAGCGACAGCGAGGCGAGGCGATGTCGATCCACGTTCCGGCGACTGTCGACGCCTGACGTAAGGTCGCGTTCGTTCCACCAGAAAATGAGAGACAGACCTCCACGTAGCAGCAGCAGCAGCAGCAGCAGCAGCAGCGAGCAGCTGATGGCGGTCGTGCCCAATGCTACTGGGAGCTGCTCCTAACATACACGTCTACTCCAAACGTCGCGTTCACCGTGACCGTACATCGGACGTGCGAGTAGCGAGGAGGAGGAAGTGGAGGCGGAGTAGCAATAGCAGTGGTGGCGTTTTTCGGCAGTTGCCGGTTGTCGCGGTGAAAAAGGAGTAGCGTCGACGTCGACGGCCGCGGCGGCGAGAGTCCAGCATCTCTCCGCAGTCCCCGTTCAGCGAAACGACGGATTGCACCCGTCTGCTCCAAACGATTGTATATACCGTCGTACCGTGAGTGTGTGTGCGCGCGCGCGCGCGCGGCCAC